GATGCACCCTGTTCTCTCCCTCATGAGAGCCCAAAGGACTAAATCCCATTCCCCAACACTGCACTCCTCAAAGAGAGACCCCTCCCAGGCCTCCCTGGCTGTCTGGGGAATGGTGGTTCGTGATAGGGCATGTTACTTGAACTGGCAGCCCTCAGTAAGCCCCGCAGTGCTCGATGGTCCTACCAGTGGTTCTCTGATCTTACAATGTGGAGACCTGGTACCTTTTTTTTTTTTTTTAAGATTTTATTTATTCATTTGAGACACAGAGATACAGAGAGTAAGAGAGAGAGAAAGAGAGCATGAGCAGGGAGAGAGGCAGAGGGAGAGGGAGAGAGGCAGAGGGAGAGGGAGAAGCAGGCTCCCTGCCGAGCCAGGAGCCAGGAGCCCGAGGTGGGGCTCGATCCCAGGACCCTGGGATCATGACCTGGGCCGAAGGCAGATGCCTAGCCATCTGAGCAACCCAGGTGCCCTGACTTGGTACCTTTTAATCTCTGCTTTGGCCTTATTCCAGAATAGGAAAAAAAAAAAATCCTATGATTTAATGTTACAAACTACTTAAATCTACAGTCAGTAACTTAGGTCAGTTCTCCAGAACAGATGGAGATGAATGTATGCAAGTGACGTATTAAGGAGATGATAAATTAAGTACGGGACTGGGAATAGAACAAGGAAGGGAAGGAAGCACACACAAGGGGTGATTCTGGTAAAGCTGTAGAGGCTAACCTCAACCCAACTCCTCCAGAAAATTTTGGAGTATAAGGTGCACTTCATATAAGGGAAAGGAGCTGGGCTTTCCTACAGGAATGCCAAGGGGCACTTTAGGCCAAAGACCCAGCGGTACTGAATATTAGAAGTAGAGTGAAAAGAGGAGAGGGGTGAACAGGGATCTGAGAATATGAGTGGATTACTATAGCTGGTCAGACTTTTATTATTTTTTTAAGTTGCATAATGTTATGGAATAGGCTAGAAAGTAGTCATCTGTGCCAAGACTTCACTAATAATAACTGGTGCTATCTGTAACTAACAAAGAATCATATAGTTTACACTGTTTAGTAAACTGCTTAATGAAATGCTAAGGGCAGTGTGAACAACGTATTCTGAGAAAGAACAGCAAGACAAACTTTAAAGACCGAAGGAAGCCTGAAGGAAAGAATGGTTCTTTTGACTTGGATCTTTAATTTCTCTAAATAGGGCTGCTTTTGCTTTTTCTGGAAAGCCCGATTTAGATGTTCATTTTCTTCAAAGCTATTTCTGAAACATTCACAAAACCACAGGATCTCTAAAATAATGTTTAATACATAAAATGTGCCACCTAGCACCAATGCCTACAAGTACCAGAATTCTATCCAGTTAATATTACTCTTCACAACTGGTGTAACTGAAGTCCTTGATAGATCAGTCTGTGAGCAGATGATTATCATAATAACATAAAACAGAGAATACACAGAACCAAAATCACTTGGTAAATGTACATAGAACCACATTTGTAGTTATTTAAAAACATTTCTCTGTTTCATGTAAACACTGGTGATTTTAGCCATATTCCTGGAAGATATATGCGAAGAAACGTGCAAGAGCCAAGTAAGTGCACAAGCCTGAAACCGGACTTTTTATTCTTGCTCCATTCTCAAATGAAAAAGTTTGTAAAGACACCTTTTCCCGGGCGCCTGGGTGGCTCAGTCGTTAAGCATCTGCCTTCGGCTCAGGTCATGATCCCGGGGTTCTGGGATCGAGCCCTGCATCGGGCTCCCTGCTCAGTGGGAAGCCTGCTTCTCCCTCTCCCACTCCCCCTGCTTGTGTTCCCTCTCTCGCTGTGTCTCTCTTAAAAAAAAAAAAAAAAAAGATACCTTTTCCCCCTCCTGATTTCTTACTTTTATTCTTACCAACTCATTGGAGTATAATTTACTATCTAACTGACATAGACATGTATGGTGGAGGAAAAGAATAAAACTTTGGCTAATGGAAGTATACAAAACAGTATTTTCAGGGTTTTTTTTTTTAAGTAAAAGAACTTTTAAATATTAAAGCTATCGTAAAAATAGCAATGAAGTGGAAGATACATATGATAAAAACCACTGCATAATTATATTAAAATAACCAACTTTTAGATTTATTGATCTTAAAGACAACTAAATTTTACTAGTTGCAACTTAAACAGAATTACATAGTAATAGATGTCTCTCTTTAGAAACTGGATCAGTTTATCTCTAGTTTCCTGACAAAAACGCCAAGTCAACCATGCCACTTCACTGTTTATTTCCTGCAGACTTTAGGCAAACCTCAACACCTATTTTCATTTGAGGAGTGACTGATACACAATTTTCTTTTAAGCAGAACTTGATGTTGAGCTACAAGTAAACTAAGTTGGATTTCAGGCCCATTGGCAGGCAGGCAGGCAGGCAGGCAGTAATCATTTTTCAAATTGCAGGCAGCCCATGGTGGTTGTCAGTTATATATTGAACCTCTATGGACATGCTGGAAAAATCTATGAACACAATCTTCCCATGCTGTATTCACATGCTCCATTCACCATTCACATCTTTAGCTTACCCAGGTTGTTAGAGGTTTGGGTAAGATGACTAAAGATTTCATGATGGAAATTTCTATAAGAAAAAAAAGAAAACTTTAAAGATTGATTTCTTATAAAAAATTGAGTATTTACTGGGTACTTTATACTAAGTAATATGCCTAATAATGGCTAAATGCAATTCAAATGAACAACCATACATAATTTCAAAAGATGACTTTTTTGCTGATACCTAAAACAAAGCAACCAAAGAAAAATCAGATACACTGGACATCATCAAAATTAAAAAGCTTTGTGCTTCCAAGGACATACTATCTAGGAAAAAAAAAAAAAGACAAACCACAGAATGGGAGACAGTATTTGAAAGTCATGTATCTGGTAAGGATCTAGTATCCAGAATATATAAAGAACTGTTACAACTCAACAGTAAGAAGACAACTCAATTTAAAAACAGGAAAAGTATTTCTGTAAAGATAAACAAATGGCCAATAAATACATGAAAAGACATTCCACATTAGTCACTCAGGAAATGAAAATAAAACCCACAAATGAGGTACCACTTCACACCTACTGAGATGGCTACAATAAAAAAGATGGACAATGACAAGCGCTGGTGAAGATATGAAGAAATTAGAACCCTCAGCTACTGCTGGTTGGAATGTAAAATGGTATAGCAGCTTTGGAATACAGTTTGGCAAATTCCCCAAAAAGTTAAACATGGAGGTCTCATACGACCTAGCAATTCTACTCTAGGTTTATACCCAAGAGATTTGAAAACATAAGTCACACAAAAATTCTTATATGAATATTCATAGCAGTATTATTATTGCCTAAAAGTGAAAAACCACTGAAATGCCCAACGACTGATGAATAGATGGATGAAGGTGTAGTATATCAAAGAAATATTAAAACTATTTTTTACTTCTAAAACTATAAAAACGAGTTAAGTGTTGATGATGTATGCTACAACATGGATGAACCTTAAAAACACAATGCTGACTGTAAGAAGCCAGATATAGGAAGCCACATAGTGTGCGATTTCACTTCTCTGATGTTCAGAACAGGCAACTCCACAGAGAACAGACTGGTGGCTGCCAAGGGCTAGGGAGAGGCAGGAACAGGAAGTGACTGCTAATGGGTACAGGGTTTCTTTTTGGGGTGATAAAAAAAAATGTTTAGAATTAAAAAGTGATGGTTGTGCAACTCTGTGAATATATTAAAAACCACTGAATTTTACATTTTAAAAGGGTGAATTTTATCAATTTTGTAAAAAGAAGTGATTCTTGGGGCGCCTGGGTGGCTCAGTTGTTGGGCGTCTGCCTTCGGCTCGGGTCATGATCCCAGGGCCCTGGGATCGAGCCCCGCATCAGGCTCCCTGCTCTGTGGGGAGTCTGCTTCTCCCTCTCCCGCTTCCCCTGCTTGTGTTCCCTCTCTCACTGTGTCTCTGTCAAATAAATTAAAAAAAAAAAAAAAAAAAGTGATTCTTGGCAAAAAAAAAAAAAAAAAGGGCTTTGCACTTAGGAAACACAAAATCTTTATACCTCAAAAGAAATTCTACTTTTAAAACTACACAACAGCTTGAGCTAAAACCAGATTCCTTAAGGCATAAAACATTTTTAAAATTTATCTTCGTATCGCCAGCACTATGCCAAATGAAAGTTAGTAGATCTGATTTACTAATCCCACTACCTCTCTTTCCTTACAGTTCTAACACCTAGCCTTGACCCCCCAAATTATAAGTTATTTGCTTTTGACTAGAATTCATCATAATCAGAAAACTTCATCACGAACAAATTCCATAAAAGCAAAGATAACAGAAACAAGTGGGACTTACTAAATTTAGCATCCTTAATTCATAAACTAGATCATGTCCTTGCCTTATACTAGTCACATATACAAAAGGTGATACGAAATGGATGAAATACAATTCTCCTCTACACGCGCAAATTCTAGGCATACAGAGGCAACCCGTATAAAATGTCATTATTAAAACACGTAAAGGAGCAATAAAAAAGGGGGCAACATACATAAATTCTACTTAACTGAGCGCATTTTTATTTACTGGGCCGATCTACCTTGTCATACTTTACTTTGGACTATTTAAAAAAAATCTGAATGGTTGGAGAAAGTTCACGGAAGTCAGAACTGGCATTTTTAAATCTCTGAGAGATAACAGAAATATACAAATAGCTAAGTTATTTGCCTGAGGTAATGCCCAATTATAAAGCTCTATTATTTACAGATGGAAAGGACCTTTAACAAAAGAAGCCTGTTGTTTTTTTGTTTGTTTGTTTAGAGGAAGAATCCAAGGCCAGGTAGATTAAGTGATCTAAACACTGAGAGTGCCTGAGTCCAGTGAGTCATCAGAACTGTTTCCCCACATCAAATCAACATCTACACCACACATTAGCCCAGAGACAGTGACCAGCTAACGAGATCTCCTCAGAGGATAAAGAGCTGGGAATGCATTTACCGATTTCTTCTTTCTGATGTATAAGATATGAATATCCTCGCTTCGATATTCTTCATCATGTTTCTCCAAAGGAATTTTTTCAAAGTCAAAGTCTAGCTGGAGGAGCTATAAATTTAAGAGAGAGATACTTCAAATTCAGTAATATGAAGTTTCCTGTGGTGACAGAAGTCAGAGTGACAGTTAACTTTGGAGAAGTACTGACTGGAAAAGGGCACATGGGTGCCTTCTGAGGTCCTGAAAATGTTCTATTTATGTAGGGTGGTGGTTGCTTGGGTGTATACATATGAAAAATTGAGCCGAGCACTTGATATGTGTGCATTTTACATGTGTTTTGACTCTATTTAAACTGTTTAACGATACAGAATTTTCAATTATAGTCTCAAGAGTTTATTAACATTCTTTACTTTCAAGAAAAACATGAAAATAAAAACAATTTTAGCACCTATCTGAGGCAGAGTCATGTATCTGCATTCTTACTTAAGCGAAGTAGTCCCATCAGTGGCTAAACTGCAGGACTGTGTAGGTGTACCCTCAAGAGGAGTCACTTACAATGTGATGGATTTTTGCCCATCAAAAGGGTTTGGATGACCACTGGGGGAAGATGGGTGAAAGATACATGGGGCTCTATGTACTACTTTTGCAACTTCCTGTGAGTCTTTAATTATTTAAAAATAAAAAGTCAAAAAAACCCAAAAAACAAAAAACACCCCAGAAAGTAGACAGCATATCTTGGTTGAAGCTTTCATAAAAATGGTAGAGATAAGCACAGAAGTAAAAACATATCACATATGTTTCTATGACGTACTTTCCAAAAGTAATACACATGTCATCAATATGTTCCCAAAAGCCAGCATCATATTTAATAAAGAAACATGGAAAACTTTCCCAGAAAAGACAAGGGTGTCACCATTATTATTTTAGGTTGTTCTGTAGATACTAGATCAACTTATTAGAAAAGAAAAAAAAAAAAGGACCAGAAAAGATGAAAAAGGTGGAGGGGAGAAGCTTAGTAGAATGGTGGGCAATGAAGGATACTCTCCACGGATTCATACAAGCAGAATGTGTTCCCCACTCAAAATTACCATAATATACTTGAACACATGGTCACAGAAAGCATCAATGAAGTCACATAAAGCACTACAAAAACAGATCTAGTACTTACCTCAAAATATTTTTTCTCAATTTCTGGATTTTTTCCCATTGTTCGTTGTTCGTAACAACATATAATACAAGTCTCAAATCCACTAAGATCTTTTAGAGTTTTCAACAATGGCTCCAAAGACTGTTCAAAAAGGAGTATCACTTTTACTTTATGATTTTCAAAAATTTCTATTTTTACTATAAAAGGGGGATGGGGGAAGTGGAGAGTAACTATAACTCCCCTCCAATTTATCCATCTTTGAATCAGTCAACAAAGTACATGGGGTTAAAGCTCTGTAACTAATGATTGGTAAACTCCTCTTCACTAATCAACCTAATCAATTTATTTCAATTTCTAAAAAACTCAAATGACTGCATTTTGGAGTTCCCATAGGAAAACAAATGAAACTGACCTCACTCTTAAAAAATTAATTTTATTTAATCTATTTTAACTTGGGATTTTACCCACAAAAGTAAGTTTGACCCTAACTTGAACGTAAGTTAGTTCAATGTTTGTTATTTTAAAAAATGTGATGCCCACAATATGAAACAAACTGATATTTTTAAAAATATCATTCTGAATCAATCTTGCCATAGAACAATGAATTCTTTACAATGCAACTTAATTCTCAATGTCATGGTTAACATGTTCCCTAGGAAGAGCTTAAAAAAAAAAAAAACCTTAGCTTTTCAGAAACCGATCCAAATAGCAAAACCTTTAAAATATTACAGAAGCCTCTAGTAAAATGCACATAACACTTTTGTCAACATGTTTCACAGGTCTTTTGTTTATCACGAGTATATGTATATAGTTTCTGGTAACCTTTATGTTCTTTACTGTGTCATCAACTATAGGACAAATATCCTGCATTCAGAAATGTTAAAATGTGAAGAAATGTGCACTTTGGAATCCACAAATTATGGTACAAATTCTAAAGATGGACACTTCACTCACTGAATACTTACCTCTTCGTAGTATATGCAGTCAGCCATCAGTATGTAGTCTGGCGGAGAAGTCAAGTCTTCTATTTCTTCCCCCCTTAAAAATGTCAAGCAGATATTTTAACTGTTGCTTTAATAATTTAAAATATTGTTTTATAAACAAGTTCTGGAAAGTTCCCTTCGTATTAACTATGCTTTTAGTGAAACGCAATTTAAAGCAAACTACAAATCGTTATCTTAAAACAAGCTGAAAGGCCATACAAACCATTTCAGTACCTTGGCTTGAACAGAACCAGTGACAAGATGCTTGTTCATATTAATATTCATCTTCAGCAAGTCTTGCAATTCCTCAAGATCTGTGACCACAACATCAGCCCTATAAAATAACGTCGATCGAAGTGTAGGCACAAACGTGCTAAACCACTAATCCGGGTTTCCCGAACAAAGCGGCACCCCCTCCTGCCAGCTCTTACCCAAGGGTAGCAGCCATGAGCCCCACGGCCCCAGTGCCGGAGCCCAGCTCCAGCACCGATCGCCGGCTCAGAGCGTGGGCCCCATCGCCGGAAAACCCGGGCGTTTCCAAGTACTTAGAAAGGACAATGGCAGCATCCCAAACAACGCAGCCCACGCCGCCGGAGCCATACTGCTGCAGTCGTAACACCGTGCCATCTCGCTTTTCCAAAACTCGAACGAAGTTCCGCAGTGGGTCCTCCACCGAGGACTCCAGGGTAGCCGCCATCGCTGCCCGGAAACAAGATGCGGCGCGCGCAGTGACGTCACACCCACACGCACCGCCCCAAGGCCGGCCCGAAGAGGGCCCGGCGCCTCCTAGTGGCGAAGTTGGCGCCAAGGCGCGTGCGCAGAAGCACAAAAACTGGGAAGGCAGCATTACCGGCGCGTGCTTGAGCACCGGACCACACGCTTCCCAGGCCTGTAGGTCGGCCTCCTCTAAATTACAAGCCTGGCTTAACAAGCAGGCAGCTTAAATTACTCTTCCAGACAAGCTAATATTGTCACCTGCTCTTTACCTGGGGTGTTTTTACCTGGGGACTAATTCACTCGGTAGTTACTGGCCTTAAATCCAGGCAGCTTCCAAGATCGTACCAAGAAGGGTATAATCCTCCTTATCAAGAGTTTCCTTAGCATGCTCCTAATTTTTCATTTGAATGCATAAAAATGGTTGCTGGAAGCTTGCTGATTGCGTTTTAACAGTTAAGACAAAGTTATCCTTCTAAAATTTACATCACTTAAATTCCTTGGGATTATGTAATTTAAGTTGCACAAAATACTGAAAATAATGTGGGTGTATGTATTTCCACAGAACTCAACAATCTCTCCCCTTGTTCCTTATAATGAAAACACGTATTTAAAAGTCTTTTAAAAATTAAGACTGGGGTGATTTATTAATCTTGTTAAGAACTCTGATACAAAGCACAGTAAAAGGCCACAGACCAGTAAATAAACAACGTGGCTTTTGGCTACTTTACAACGGCTGCTACAGCACTATCAGCAAAACACGCTTTTTCATCACTTTGAACCCAGGAGTCCAAATGGCAAATAAAACTTTTACTCACTTCTCTGAATAAAAAGTTTAATAAAGCTTTAAGTATGTTTGCTGGTTTAGATGTTACCAATCTAAAAAAAAATTTTTTTAAATTTTAGTTAACATGAGATTTATAGAGAAAGTTACTAGGTTTTGAGGGCAAGGCAGTTGGTTCCTGTGCCATAAGAAATTTTTCTCTGAATCTCTCAATTAGTAAAGTAGCAGATTGTATTATAGGCCTCGAGTCACTTAAATTTATATAGGTTATTAGCATTATCTTTAAATATACAATATAAACAAAACTGTACATACATGGCATATTAATTAACTTTGTTTTCCAATAGGCAACTCATTAGCTAAAGACACCATAGTCTGCAAAAACAAAAGGCACATCTGAATGAGATACATGCCCTTTTTCCCTCTATGATTGGGTTAGGTAGTCTCTGTATACATTTTGACAAAATAATGAACACAGTGCATTCTATTATTTTCATTCTATTTTTCATTTTTGTCTTCAGCAGCAAATTGTGGCATTTAAGACATGGCATTAAAGAGTTTAAGAACAGTGGGTGTTTTTCACAATTCTCTTAAGTGTAAAAATTAGAAGTAAAAACTAGAAGATGGTCAAAGAGTTTTAAAAATCAGTAATACCATACACGCCCTATATTTGTGTAAATTCATTGCCTTAAAAAGGCATCTATTTGCCAAATTTGAAAAATTCCACAAATGCACTATCCCCTTTCAGTGCAATCAATGTCACTTTAAACCATACTTTAGCAGAGTCTACAGTGCAAATATAAATTCTTTATACTGGCCTTTTGGCAGCACTGAGGATCCAAGACAAGGCAATGCTACTGATCACCTGAGGATAATGATAAAGGACTTCTGTATTTTTATTTTTCCGATTTTTAAAAGCTTATTTGATCAGTAGCATTTTTGTAAGAGCATTATTTGTAAAAAGTACTAAAATACTATGCCTTTTTTTGAATAAATTAAAAAAAACCCTTTACAAATACCATTCCAGTGTCAATGACTACATATGGCTAAGGTCATTGAGGAGTTTCCGCATTTTCTAGCAAAGGCAGTCTGTATGACGGAGGGTGCGAAAGCTCCCGTTTGTAAGTCTTTGGTGGCAGTTTTGGTAGGTGAGGGCTTGAATTCTGCCTTGGTGGAACAGGGGGAGCTTGAGGATGAGCAAGGTTGTTGTGACTAGAACTGAGCATGTAGCATCGACGTGGTACTCTCGGAGAGGGTGTGCTAGGAGGAGTATTTGGCGAATTTGGACAGGTACTAACGTCTCTGAACCAGTCTGGATCTCTGTGAAGATGTCCTAGTGGAGGTGGCTGAAGATTAAATGGACAGTTTATAAAGTGTTCTGGAGGCCGGAGGGGAACTGGTGGAGGGGTATCAGGAAGAGGATCTCTTGGCGGTGGTGGAGGTGGACTATGCAGAGGCCCATCAAATGCACCAGTAGGAGCAGGAACTCTGGGTTTTACCTTTGGAGGAGGAGGTTGTCTTGGTGGAATAGCAGGGGGGTCATCATCAGATTTCGTATTTCCCTCAAAAAAAAAAAAAAAATTAAATTATACCTCCATTCTCCTGAAAAATCTGTTAAGCTTTAAAAGACTGAAAAATTCTTATGTGTTCAGTTAAATCCAGAAGCTCAAAATAGGTTAATCTGATTTAATGATCAGATTCATGAGTAAAATACTCCCAGTTTAATTTAGGGCCTAGTTTAATATTTTTATATATGAGATGTTTTAATTGAAATCTTAGAATATAAAGCCTCACCTTTCAAAAATTTATGAGTTTTAATTGTAATAGGCAAGTGAGTGAAAGGAATACATAGCTTTGTAGACGTTAAAGGACATGATGTCAAGGGAACTCGAAGTCCAGCTTCTGCCTTCTGGTCATCTACTTTCCCCAGTAAGGCTTACCGTGGTGGTTCTCAAAGTGTGATCCAGGGACCAGCAGCATCAGTACCAGTAGGGAACTTGTTAAAAAATGCAAATTCCTGGGTCCCACCCTAGACCTACTGAATCAGAAACTCGGCAATCTGCTTTTAACAAGCCTCCCAGGTGATTCTGATGCAGCCTGAAGTTTGAGAATTACTGGTTTAAATTTGAAGAATGCTTTGAATACTAAAGTTCTTCCCCTTTCTACCAGAAAGAAAACACACTTCTGAGTATCTGTGAATCTGCCCAGCCTCTTTTTAGAAAAAAATATTAACAAGAATTAAGCAATTATTTAAAGTATTTTTCAAATAAAACAACCAAAATGTTTAAATACCATACAGGGTAGCCAAATTGTAATTGACAGACTTTTTATAAGAACGAGAATTATTTTGAAGGTTCACAACTTTGAATAAATTGAATAAGCTAAGGCAAACCTGAGTGCTGTTGGCTACCTTGGAATTTGAAGCGTCATGATCAAACTTCTTTCGAGGAGGAAGCGGAGGAGGAATCAGCAGCTGCTCTTCACTTAGTTTGTGTAAACTGCCACATGAACTGAAGAAGGACTCTGGGGGTAAGAAAGATTAGTTTCACCACAATTCACAGTGCAAGCGTAAGACAAGACTTTATCTCAATCTGTGATCACCTCTGCTGTAGTAAATGTCAAATTGTACTGTACTCAACTGTTGGTTGACCTATACTCTACACTTAACTGCAAGCTTTTTGAGGGCAGGGCATATTCATTTTTGTATCCCTAAGCACTAGCACAGTGGTAGTGCTTGGCATCTGGGAGGTACTACAGCTACATGAAAATATACAATTTAAGTAAGATTAATAATGAGATTCTGCTCCCTGAAAAACCTTTTTACATCTAAAACACACAAAACAAACATATTTGTATAAACTGTGGTAACTTCCAGAGGAAGATCATACATAATCAGAGACCTTGTGTTTTTGAAGCAGCGAGTATCAGATCTATTTCTACAAAGGTAATAAAACCTCCAAATAGGAGACCAAAAGGTAGGGTTGTATCAAATAACCCTTTCTCTTTGCAAATTTCTCAGTGATAAAGGACATGTTATATAACCACATCAAAGAGAATTTACAAAATAATAAAGCATTCAGGGGAAAATTCTATGCCAAAGACATAGAATAAGAACTATTTCATTTATTTTTTTTTCATATGATAAAAAAAATACCTGTAGTTATGGACCAACTCTGTTTGTTGACCAAGACTTGTTATAAAAGCAGTGCCCATGTCTTGTTGATCATTATACTAAGATTGGGCTCACAGGAACTAGTTGGGAAAGTTGATGAGTTTAATTTTAAACACACTGAGTGTGAACTCCTTATGTGATATCCAAGTAAAGATGTCAATCTCATTACTCCATGTAAAAAACTGCTGTCCTGATCTGGTGACTCTGCAGTCACTTCATGGGTCCTGTTGACTCAGGGTGTCAAAAGTAGAAAAAGTATTCCTATGGGGTGTTTGGCGGATGGTGTGGGAGGTCAGGCAGAGCACTATCTGCTGTAGATATATTCCTTTTGCCTGACCAGCATCTTATGCCCTGTCTTTGGGAGCAAACTACTCTTGGTGATAGTGAATCTATCCCATGTGGTTTAGTTGGCCAGTTTGGCCCAGTGCACCCCAACTCCAATCAGAGAAATAACAAGTGTTGGTGAGGATGTGGAGAGAAGGGAACCCTCATGCACTATTGGTGGGAATGTAAACTGGCACACCCACTGTAGAAAACAATATGAAGGCTCCTCAAAAAAGAGAAAAATAGAAATACCATATGATCTTGTAATTCCACTACTATTTACCCAAAGAAAACTAAAACACTAGTTCAAAAAGATATATGCACCCCTATGTTCAGTGGAGCATTATTTACAATAGTCGAGAGATGGAAGCAACCCAAGTATTCACCAACAGATGAATGGATAAAGAAGATAATATGGCGCTCGCACGTGAGCGTGCGCACACACACAGAGGAATACTGCTCAGCCACAAAAAAGAAGGCGATCTTGTCATTTGCAACAATATGGATGGGCCTAGAGGGTATTAGGCTAAGTGGTATAAATCAGACAAAGAAAAATACCATATGATTTCACTTATATGTGAATTCTGAAGAACAAAACAAAACAAAAAGAAACAGACTCATAAATACAGACAACAAACTGGTGGCTGCCAGAGTGGAGGAGGATAAGGGGATGGGCGAAATAGGTGAAGGGGATTAAGAGGCACAAACTTCTAGTTATAAAATAAGTCAGAGAAATAAAAAGTACAGCATAGGGAATATAGTCAATAATATTGTAATACTATATGGTGACACAGAGTGACTACACTTGTGGTGAACACTGAATAATGGAGAGAATTGTCAAATCACTATGTTGTACATCTAAAACTAATATATCATTGTATGTCAACTATACTTCAATAATAAATACTTAAAAAAAAAACACTTTATTTTTTAAAAAGTAAGCTCTATGCCCAACACGGGGTTTGAACTCATGACCCTAAGATCAAGAGTCGCATGCTCTACTCACTGAGCCAGCCAGGCACCCCAGTAATAAATACTTTTTAAAAAGTAAAAAAGAAAAAAAAGAGGCGGGCATGGGACTCACTTCTCACCTTCTTAACATGATCAGATTTTTATCTCTTCCCCTTCATGCATGCAGCCCTGTGTTTTGCTCCGGGGAGCTGACCTTATCCCATAGCTCCAAAGAT